CTCTCTCTGTCTCTCTCTCTTTCCTTCCTTCTTTCTTTCCCATCCTGCCCATCTCCCTCTCCTCCCTCTCACCCACCCACCTGCCCCTCCGTCCTTTCCCTTCCTTCCCCCAGGAAGGAACATAATTTTGGCCCAATCTGAAGAAGGAGAGCGATCACGTGATTTTAAGGCTGATAACTCGCTCATTTTATCAGTTAGAACCCCACAAACGCCACACAGTTGTCTCTGCTTTTGGGGACCCCCTGTTAACTTCCCCTGTTTTAAGTCAAGCAGCCGTGTGGCTGCTCTCTAATGACACTTTCAGACATTTGACAATGTCCCTGATTCCCAACCCTGCAAGTCACACCGGTTGCTCATGGAAGGCTGCTCCGCGGCCTCTTACATGGACCCTTCAATCTCTTGCTAAATTAAGTCACCTTTTGCCTGAACTGAAAGATCCTGAAAAACTTTCCGAGATGGATCCCCAAAGGTGCTTTTTCAAGAGGCCACTGGAGTTTCTGTTTTTTTTTTTCTTTGAAGACATTTCGCTTCTCATCCAAGAAGCTTCTTCGGCTCTGACTGGAGGGTGGGGATAGATCTCTATCTTCAGTCAGAGCTGAAGAAGCTTCTTGGATGGGAAGCGAAATGTCTTCAAAGGGAAAAAAAAAACCCCAGAAACTCCAGTGGCCTCTTGAAAAAAGCCCCTCTGGGACAGCCATGACCGGGATGACTGAGACTCTCCGTAGACTTCCTGAGATAAGGTTCCTGCTTAGAAATTGGGCCTGGTTGCAAAGTAGGCGGAAGAAGCATTCTTCTTCGCTTGAGTCACTGAACCCACCTAGAAATAACAACAGAGTTGGATTTTCTTTGAAGTTGGTGTGTAGCAAACTTTCTGGGAAACTTAAAGTTCCCGAATTCCATCCCAAGATCTTCCTTCTCGAAGGAACAGACGGATCCTTTTAAGAGGCTGGGAGGAATGTCTCCTCTCTGTTCCGCTGCCTGTTGTAAACATTTCCCCCCAAGGGCCGGCCGTGTCCCGTTTATACGCGTTTGTTCCGATTTCCCCAAAGAGGCCCCTTTGGATGGCTTAATCTCGGTGAAACTTTATTCGACTGAAAAAGGATTTGCGTATCTCCCAGAAGCACTGAGGCTTGGCTTGCTTGCTTGAGACCAACGATCAGGGGGTGGATGCTGGCTGGTTCTTTTCTCGTGCACTGTCTCTTCTGTAAGCAGATGGGACTGAGGCCATGACGGCAAACCTATGGCATGTCGAGCCACTTCTGAGGTTGCCTGGAAGAGTCCCATTGTGCATGCGTGTGCGCCGCCTGCCTGACATCGGATTGTTGGCTATCTGGCATGCATGCGCGAGTGTGAAGGAGGTGAATGTAGATCGCCTTCTGGGTGCTGGCGCGTGCACGCACCCAATTTTCGGCACGGGGTCCCAAAAGGGTTAGCCGGCCCTGGACTAAGGGGTCTAGGCATGTCCAATGATGGCTTGCTTTAGGGCAGTGTGAACAGATCCTTTGGCTTGTTCCTGCTATAACTCTTCTTCATTTTAGCCTTTTGACTCTGGCATTTTTCAGAGGAGCACAAGGTAGAGTTCATAGTTTGCTGTATCACGATATAGCACTGGCTTTGTTCTTAAGCCAGGCCCATGAAGTAGGAAAAGTATTGCAGGAACGAGCAAGCATTAAATATGAATAATAAGCGTGCTCTTGACTAAGGCGGAAGGCTAAAGAATTCTGGCCTGTTGTTGCATGCAAACACACCTCGAGGAAATGTTAACCCTGAACCTTGGTTTGCTCCTGGTTTCTATGCCCTAGTCAAGTAGACCCTGCTTGATCAGGGACAGTCTGCTTCTAATTTATTAAACAATGGGACTTAACGGGAAAAGGATGTTACAGAATAACGAAGTTGGAAGGGGCTTATAACATTCTAGACCAAGGGTCTCCAACTACTATGCTGTGGCCTAATCGCCACCAGCCACGTGAGCAGCCAGCCAAACAACCAGCATTTGCATGTGTGCATGGCCCCACTTGCGTGAGCTTTGCCACAGCCTTACTCGTGCGAGCGTTGTTGCAGGCAATTGCGGTCCCTGCTGCGCGTGCGTCTCCGCGAAATTCACAGGCACACCCATGCACTTATGCGCCTGCCCCTCCCACAAAATCTTTAATCCCCTCCCCCTGCTCTGGACTACCAACCCGGGAAGGTTGGGGATCTCTGTTCCAGAAGACATCCTGGCTGTCCAGTCTCTTCCTGAGACCTCCAGAGACCGAGCACACACAATATCTGGAGGGAAGCCATTCCACTGAATAATTGTTCTCCCTGTCTCCTTAATTCCAGATTGGATCCCTCTCTGATCAGTTTCTGGTCTGTGGAGATTCTCAGTCATCCAGGTCAGGGCTTTGCCAACGACGCTTTCCAAATGGCAATCGGACCTTCTTAGTTTTTTTCTTTCTTTCCTGAAAACATTTCGCTTCTCATCTGAGAAGCTTCTTCAGTTGTCTTCAGAAGTGAAGGATCTCTTGGATGAGAAATGAAATGTTTTTAAGAGGGGAAAAACAACAATTAAGGAAGTCCAGTTGCCTTTTGTAAAGCACCTTTGGGACATCTACCTGTGACTTCTTGCCCTGAGCTTCCAGAAGGGTCTGAGAAGATAAGCTCCAATGAGGGGGTATTGTTTAGAGCAGGACTCTTCAAACTTGACAGCTTTAAGACTTGTGGACTTCAACTCCCAGAATTCCTCCTCCTCCAGTCATGTTAGCTCAGGAATTCTGGGATCTGAAGTCCAACGTCTGAAACTTGCCAGGTTTGAAGACCCTTGGTTTAGAGCTTTCCATTGATGGAGGAGGAAAAACACCCACTTATCTCGCCCAGAATGGTCAGGCTATCTTGAGACATGAGTTGAGGTTCTCCTCAATGGGAGGGTTTTGGCCAGCAGTAATGCGGTAACGTTTACATCTGTCACTGAACATCACAGGAGCTGTGGCTTCCTGAAGGCTTAGATTTACAAATGCCCAAGAAAAACTTGCCAAAACATCAGCTGTTGAAAGCTCAGAATGCGACGCTGGCATTAGCAGCCAACGTTGAAGGGAGCAGACGGCCATTGGACCGGCCGAAAAATTAACTAGATTAAATTGAAGTGGCATTTAGTTTGGCATCCCAGCTGCCTGGCTTGCCTAGGTAAATCATAACAAGGTTGTGCGTGTTGCACAGTGAAGAGTTGACATTCCCAGAAGGCCACTCTTAAGCCAATGAAGCTAATTGTGGTGCGAAGAAAAATCTCGAAACTAGGAAGATTTATTGCCTCTCTTGGATTTTTTTTTGTTTTGTTTCCCCTCCCAGACAATATCGCCTCTGAGTTGGAGGATTTCATGGGGTTGATAGAAACGGTGACCGGATATGTGAAGATCCGGCATTCTCATGCTTTGGTGTCCTTGTCGTTTTTGAAGAACCTGCGATATATCAACGGAGAGGAACAACTGGATGGGTAAGGATAGCCTGTTTTCTACTGTAAGAAGTCATGTCAACCGTATATAACATTTTAGGACAAGTGGTTCTTGAAGTTCTTGTTAGAGAATACAGTGTTTCTCAACTTTGGGAACGTGAAGATGTGTTGACTGGGGAATTCCCGGAGTTGAAGTCCATACATCTTCAAGGTCCCAAGGTTAAGATACGCTGCCCTTAATATATAAGATGAAGACCTATCTTGGTCACCTTGAAACTTGGTTCCCTCTACTTTCCCCTTCAACTTCATGGCATTGAATAACAACTCTTTAGCTGTCAGTTTTGATGTGTTACCTCCTTTAGATGTGGTCCTTGGTTTCAGAAAGGTCGCTAGATGCATTATGAGGTACCTTCATGCAGATTGACTTGATCCATAGATTTTTTTTTTCCTTTGTTGTCTTCTTATGGATGATTCAGCAGATCAGCTTGGATGCTACTGAAGGTCATCCATGGAAAATTTCAATCAAAGGGTGAACTTTGGGTGTGTTACGATGTCTGGGAAATGTTTTCACTCGTCAACCTGTTCAGAACTGGATTTGACATCTTCTATTTGCTCAACTGAGCTGAAAGGATGGTCCTGTTTTTTGGAGGACAAAGGTGCCTTGTGTTAACACAGAGTGAGCATCTAACTTCATATTGTTTTCATCATTCTCTCCCAATTCAGTGACCTTCTGAAGAACATTGGGTTACAACACCCATTTTCTTCCCTTGCCAGGGCTACGGATCATATAGTTCCATTTCAGATACCTCTGAGAAGACACAAGGGTAGAGAAAGGAAAGTAGAAGTAGTCCTTGACTTACAACCGCAAGGGAGCCCAGACTTTTTATTGCTGTTAAGAGAGACATTTGTTAAGTGAATTTTGCTGGCCAGAAGGGTCACAAAAGCTGATCCCAGGACCCTGCAACCGTCATAAATAGGAACCAGTGGTCAAGCATCTTGTTCTGACCAAGGCTTTCCAGACCGTAATTACCTGCATGCTTATTTTAAAAACAAGTCTTGTTTTATTGCAATGCTGGGAATTATTTTCATTCCCAGCCGGTAATGAACTTCAAACAGTCCCTCGAGATAAGCACCCACCTTTCTTTCCTGTGAAGTGCTACCAATAACAGAAGTGTCCAATAAACTAGAACAAAAACCAACCGAAGTACAAAGAGCGTCAAGAATGAGCCTGAACCGATCGAACGACTTTGCTTCCTGCAAAGGTTTTGTCACCTTTGCCTGTACTTTATCCCTTATGGGAGGAGCAATCACCTCCCAGCCCTACTCCTGAGTTGCCCCTTTTGTTTCAGCTGCTCTCGCCTTCTAGCAGCTCTGCGCACATGCACACCCTGGGAACAGGCTTCCCTTGTTCCTCTGCCTCGCTGCTGCCAGATTCCGAAGGCTCCGGAGGCAGCACCCGACTCCCAGATGGTCCTGGCCCCATTTCTGCATCAGATGGAGGACCCTCATTGAGTCCTCCCCAGACTCCCGGACCAGTCCCTGTTCTTCCCCACGGTCCAATTCCACTGCCATCTGCACTGGCTGCCGGCGAACCACAACACATCTGAATTTTGATAACGTGACCATGAGAATTCTGCAATGGTCGTCATTGTGAAAAATAGACCTAAGTCACATTTTTCCCAGTGCCATTGTCACTTTAAACAGTCACTAAATGAACTGTCACAAGTCGGGGACTTCCTGTGCTTAAAAGAATGGAGTTGCGTCATTTTTGAAGAACGTACAGCTGGAAAAAGTTGTGGTTGTTGTCGTCAGACTAACGGGAAGGGAAGCACCATTCTGCCCTTCGTCTTAAGTCTGGGAAACCGCCGTGTTTGTCTTGTGACGCTTTCTCCTCTCTCTCTTACCTCCAAACGAAACCATTCTTTCCAGATACCAGTTGCATCAGTTAGTCGATAAACAGGAATTTGGGAGGGAAACTGTTTGGACAAGGCCGGAGCAAGGTCATGAGAACAGCCCTCGTTGTGTCTGATTTATCTGGCCTGAAAGGATTATCTTACAGGATGAGAGGAGGTTCTCAACCTCATTTTTTCCTCCCCTCCTGTCCCTCCCTCTCTGGCTGCTGTTTGGTCGGCTTTGCATTCTTCAGATTCCAGAGAGTGATGGAATATGTTGTAAAGGGCAGTGTTGCTTTCTTCCACCCTGGAAAATTCCTCTTGCCTCTCAAGCTATAGAGCAGAGGTCTCCAAACATGGCCACTTTAAGACTGGTGGACTTCAACTCCCAGAATTCTGGGAGTTGAAGTTCACCAGTTTTAAAAGTGGCCAAGTTTGGAGACCTCTGCCGTAGAACGTAGATTCATAGGGTTGGAAGGGACCTTGGACATCTTCTAGCCCAGAGGTGTCAAACTCTTATTTCATTGAGGGCCACATCAGGGTTGTGTTTGACCTGGGGGGGGGCATACGTGGCCAGAGTGGGCATGGCCAGCTCGATGTCACCCGTGTCGGGGACCCCTGAGGAGGCCCAAGCATGCGGCCCTCCCGAGCTCCGTTTTTGCTGGTAGAGGCACTGCGGCCTGGTCCTTTGCTGTTTTCAGGGCAGCCCTGCACAGCCCTTGAATTTGACACCCCTGTTCTAGCCCACCCCTCTGCCGAAGCCTGTACCCCCTATACCATTCCTGACAAGAGGCAGTCCCTTCCAGTCCCTTCTTAAACTACATTGGTCCCAGGGGTGGGATTCTACCAGTTCGGTCCAGTTCTATAGAACCGGTTGTTACGATTCTGCACAGTTCAGAGAACCGGCAAATCGCACCACTTGCCTGAGAGCAGAGTTGAACCTTCCTTAGGACCGAAGCTTCTATTTTTTCAGTGCAGACTCAGGCAGCAGATTGCAGAAAGATAGATCTGCGAATGACTCTGTGATTCTGCAAGCAACTCAATCTGCCTGCCTGCTTTGCCTCATTTGGGGTAAAAGTTGCTCTTTCTTTAAATAAAAAAATTCAATATTTACATAAATATTTACAATATTTACATACAAGCCATGCCCTGCCAGCCACATGACCACCAAGCCACACCCACAGATTAGGGCATGCCCACAGAACCGGTTGTTAAGAAATTTGAATCCCACCCATGCTCTTCATTTTCCAAAGATATTTAAAATGTTCCGGCTGATATATTTATTTATTTAGCAAACGTATTGGCCACCC